GTTTACAAGTCACTCACTAAACTATGATGATTGAAGGGTTTAATCAATGTTGCCAAAAGAGGAATCGGGAAATGATAGATAACGGCAGAAAAGGCCAAGATTGAACGAACAAAGACAGGAGGAGAGGCAACAGCCAAACTCAAATTTGGGTCCTAGTATTAATTTTGTTTGTATTGTAATCCAATTATAGCTGGTGTCATTCTCACCCTGTAAAAGTGGCCCAAAAGTCCTTTGATGATTGATTCAATTGTCCAGCAAAATTTGTCAGAGCAGATCTCGGACCCATCTAAGAGAATCAAAAACATGGGGCCCAATTGTCATGTTAATAGTAAATTTGGACCCATTTGAAATTCCCATGGGCATTAGGCCGTAACTTTTTTTTTTCTCAAAACAAGTACAACAAGCATGGAAGCAACCACCAAAATGTGAGTTCAAAGAGAGGAAGAAAAAAGTTCAGTTCTTTTTTTTTGGGGTAAATTCTAATTAATTTTAAAAATTTTATAAAAACAATAGAAAGTAAGTAATTTTAAAATTAAATTTCAGCATAAAAACTAATTTTTAATTTAATATTTTAAAAAAAGTTTAACAACTAAAATTAAAAAAAAAAACTAAAAATTAAAACAGTCAAATGTTACTAAACAACCCTTAATATTGAATTATAACTTCTTAAAGTCAAGATTAATATATACTATTCTCATGTTTCGTAAACCGCAAGTTAAACTTTCATTGGGCAATAAGATCATATTAATGTTGATGGTTGTAAAGACTAGTAGGGGATTTAAGATGTAGTCATGTTTATCTTGTATTCCTCGACAGCTCTTAAATGTCAAAACCAAATTGTTCAAAGAAACCTTTTTTCTTTTCTTTTTTTGACTCTTTTGCCTCCTGGTTTTCGACTTTTCTAAGAATATATTCACGTTATGTGCAACTATTCTAATGGTTTGAAACCCCGAAACTTTAATTGAACTCAAGCCAGTGGCTGTCTAAACTGCACGTAGGATTGATGGAGAGAATTATATATTAAAATATGTTATCTTCTACGTAGCTGTGAAAGCACATGAAAATGAAAGCGTGAGATGATGAGGAGGTAGGTTTTTCTTGTAGCTATTGTCTTTTTTGTGTTCAGCGTCCACGGTGTAAATCCGCGGCCCCAAGGTGTGTAGTTGTCACAGATCGGCCCCTGGAAAAAAGTTGTACTGAATTTGAATTTGTAATAGTAATAAATAACTGCCGTGGCAAATTCACCTAAAATCTATCGACTGACGGGAAGTATACATCACTTCTTTGTTATCTTAGTTTGAATGATTTGAGTAAATACTAATATTTTGTGACAAGGTGTAACTTAATCATTAAGGGGGTGTTTAGTTGAGAGAAAAAATTATTTTTTAAAGTTGTCTAAATTTTCTCTTTGTAAGAATATTTATGTATTTTTATATATTAATATTACAATAAAATAAAGATAAAAGTAATATTTTTTATTTTTTTATTTTTCTTAATATAATTTTCAATTTATAAACTTTTCTTCTTAGAGTTATTGACCAAAAAAAAGCTTCTTTCCAATTTTCTCTCACTTAACAACTTTTCGCTATATCAATTTCTTACAATAACATAAAAAAAATTAACAATATAACAAAATTTTAACAAACATTTATTGTAAAATTTATCAATTTTTTATACAATATTTATCTATCTATACAATACTTTTTAACCACATTTTTAGGAAAAAGTTTCCTGATGCAGTTGAGCCTTCCGACCCAGTGGTATTAAACTACGTTTAAGTGCATTCCCTCCCAGACAATGGTTTGAATCCAGTTCCTTACAAAATTGTTCAAAAAAAAAAAAGAAAAGAAAAAGTTTAATGATAAAGTAGCCTTTAATCAAAGAGACCCTAAATGTGAATATTAGTGTTGTCTATGAGAATATCTTTGACAAATCTTATGACTTAACTAGCACATAATCTGCCCTTAACAAGTTAATAATAGAGTGAATGAAGTTAGAATCTCAAATCAAATGACAATTAAGGATATTTGTGATATATATATATATATATATATATATATAAGTAAAAGCTTACCTATTCACTATTTAAATTATAGGAGTCATTTTACTTTGAACCTTTATATTATATTGGATTTGAGAGAAATAGATGAAAAGAAAGGGATTTGATAAGTTGTTTAATCAATAAAATTACAAAATTTTCATATATTGTAATTTAATTGATCAAAAAATTTATTCATTTCCTCATTTCAAACGAAACATACTCTTAAGACCTAAAACAAATTAATAATATCTCGTGACCAAATTTAATTCTTTACACCAACAGTCTCTCATAACTTCCATGCCAACTTTTGACCAAATTGATCAAAATTTGCCCAGAAAAGATCCATATAAATCAAAATGAAACCTGTGAAGAGTTGATATATATAGGAAAAGTAGTTCATTGTGAAATAAAATTGTTAGTATTTAATAGCAATTTTCACATTTGAAAAACTACAATTTCTGTTCAAAATAGTCTATTTTTGCACACAAAAAAGAACCATCTAATTAAAGAAAATAAACGTCCTTAACCCCAATAGAATTACCGGCTAATCAAAAGTAGTCGTAGAACAAAAAATAGAAATGTTTCTGTAGGTTACCTTAATTAACTAATCATTTATAGCTGAAAGGTTTATAAATACAAGCAAAAATTTAATTAAGTTAGTATTTACTAATTTCAAATTCTTAACTTAATTTGAGATTAAAGTAGAGATTCAAAACTCTATAATTTAAAACACCTAACCTTCCAATGTACTAAAAAAGTCTATGAATATAGGATATTCTCCCATTATTAATGACTACT